ATATATATATATATATATATATATATATATATATATATATATATATATAATACATAGAATTATTAATATAATTTGAAATGATTTAAGGACAATATAGTTGATAATATATCACGGAAAAGTATTGCCGGGAAAATGTTATTTATGTCACATTATTTGCAATCGTTATTCTTAAACAAGATTATAAGTACACATCATTGATATTATTCGCGTGTTGTTTATAACGGTTCAACTATTTTGTTGTATCAACGTGTTAAAGCAACGGACTGATTTATCGTATGCCATTTGATATTTCAGAGCTTGAAAGCCTCTGCGTCGTATATATCCGTTTTGTATGCAATGTACTGATGTCAATGAAGCTTACAATTATACATATACGCTGTTTATTGGAAATGTCTAAATATTTGTGTTCCGTACAATATAAAGTACTTCTACTAAATAATTCCGTAACATTGCGGGTGCACACAATGGCGATATAGCAATATCAAGAAATATAAGTCTATATGATATAATATAAGCATAATATTATAGTTAATGATATTTTTAATGGTGTTAATATCGGGTATCTCGAGTACTGCTCGGGTATCCGAATGTTTCAGGTATCAGGGTGTTTCTCGAAAAGCACCCAGGTACCCGGTTATTTCGAATATTGCCCGGACACACAGGTATCTGATTATTTTGAAGTAACTAGAAAATCAGTAGAAATCGTTGGAATATTAACAACACTAATCATCAACTGTAATGTGATTTCAGTGTACTACACGATTGCTCTTTCTCTCGTCTCGTTGAACGATACATCTGGGAACAACGCTAAATGTAAATGTATGTGTACTCGTTAGAGTATTTAGAAAGGTCTGAGACCAATCGTTGTTTCGACGTTTTAATCGAGGAAAGAAATGTCTTCGCACACGCTCACATAAACAAAATGTCTTCACACATACATAAACAAAATGTCTTCACATGAAATATTCATTATTAAAAAATTAAGATCCAAAATGCTTCTTTACGTACGAGCAATATGCGATATCACTACATCTTTGTAAGAATCGTCATTTGTTACGATTACAGCGCGTACGCCTGGAGTAACTTCTGCATGATCCGCCTTTTCCACCATATATCTGCATTTCTCGGAAAATCCGCAATTACTCTATTCTGGACCCGCGGTCGTTCACTCCAAACGCCAAATGGAAAAGTCGTATCCTATGCATTTTTCATGCAGCCAATCTGTTCCGTCATTGGGACTTTTTGCGATGAAATGAGACAGCGGTAAAACCACAATGTGTACGACCACGGTCGTGTAACTCCTCGCTCGTGTAATCATCGCTCGATTGTTGAAACTTTAATTCCCTGCGCCTCGCGTGGGGCACCATAATTCTCGTTCTTAGTCGCCGGCAATTGACCGGTGATTACCTTGCTACGGCTGCGTTTAGTCGTCGGGGCCGCTTGCGTGATCAACTTGCTGCTATACAGTCGTTTTAGAGGCATACGCGGCCTCTACAGCGCCGTTGACGCTATAATAGCCGTGGCTTCACGACGTTGGCGAAGTCATTGACACGTCGAGTGCATCTCTGTTGAACGTTTCCTCCGTCGAATTGTCAGTCGAATTTCGAAAATTCCGAAATTCTACTAGGGAATAACTCTTCACAGGAGTACCAAAATTAAGTTAGTACCTCGATACAAATCGTAAAACGCCAGAACAGGAAAAGATGCCCGTAAGCGTCTTCGCTATCTCGATGGAGCTCGGTCTTCGATATATCGGCATGTGGCCGGCTGCGCCGTGCGCGTGGTTCTGCCGCTGTGTTTGGATACTAACCATCATCATAGTGCAGACTTGCCAATATTGGTATCTTATTCTTCACTTCAGGACCCAAACTCTGTCGGACCTGATGGACTGTATGAGTGTCGCTTTGGAGTACACCGCGATGTTCACGAAACTCACTATTTTATGGTTCAATACTCGGTAAGAACTCACTTCTCTCGCACTGTCTCTCGCTCAAAAGTGCAGACCGCAGATTTATGGCTCCTTCTTGGAAGTAATGTTTCTTTTATGACTACATGACCTTCATCCTACGAGTAAAGATTTATTTATTTATTTATCCAGAATTGACTGATATGAGAAAATTTCCGAATTTAAAAAATTCTATGACTAATGTAACATAACCCCAAGTGTACCTTTAATTTCATTGGCCAATGTAGTCATTGCAAAATCGAGGTACACCCTGGATACTAGCAAACTAATCAGACAACTCAATTTTTATCGCTAATTACGCGCTGAGAAAATCAGGCTCTCTTCGTTACGGAACTTACTCGTTACCAGCTCTGCGCGAGTCGCTCATTCATCATCGTAAAACGCACGGATAGAGTAAACTGCCGTAGTATATTTAATGATGTCCTAGCTACGATAGCTACGGATTGGAGGGAGGCCGCGGTCAACGACGTGCAGATTATGACGGGCAAGGCCACTCTGTCGCGGCATTTCACCAACATGATCATTGGGCTCCATTCGGTAGCGGCCTTTACCTACGCCATAGGCGTTCTGGTGCAGGCCAGCCAGAACGACGACGTCGACGCGAACGGCGTGCCGATTCGCGAGTTCACGTTGAAGCTGCAGCTGCCGTTCGAGTGTAACCAGTCGCCGTTGTACGAGGTCGTTCAATGCCTGGAGTTTCTGCATCAGTTGTCGGCTTCCTTCGTGACCGGCATGTTGAACTCGTTGGTCATCACATTCGTGAGTGGGAATCCGCGACGTTGTCCATTGATGACTTCGATCCTACATCTTCTTTTTGCTTAATCATCCGAACAGCGTCCGCTTCCAGGTTCTTCACGTGTGCGGCCAAATAGACATTCTGTGTGACGCGTTGGGGCACTTCTCCCCCGACAAGTACAACCAACAAGAACGTCTGGTGTCCGTCGTCGCGGGCGAACTGGTCCTCAGGCATCAGAAGATCATCGCCTTCTCTGACAAGATTGAGAAAATCTTCTGTTACATCGCGTTGATGCAATTCATATCGAGCACGTTGGTTATCTGCTGCTTGGGGTATATGATGGTGACAGTGAGTAATCGTTCGCGAAGAGACGCAACGCATAATATCTGCTACCAGAGAATATTATAGCCTTTTTCTTCAAACAAATTCTTTCCAATGTTACTATGTTTCTAGTGATGATAGGAATAGTTTGTTAGTAAAATTCATTTTGCAAAAAAGTATCTCGCAGAAGCATATCTTGCTACACTGAGAAAAAAATTATCTTAAAATCAACAAATATTTCCTTGATGGGTGCCATTAACATATTTACTTAAATCTACATTCTCTTTACTTAAATCAAATATTGTTTATTTAAATCAAGTAAACAATATTTGATTTAAGTAAAGAGAATGTAGATTTAAGTAAATATGTTAATGGCACCCACCAAGGAAATATTTGTTGATTTTAAGATAATTTTTCTCTCAGTGTAGAGATATAATAAATTTTATTAGAAACATATACGCGGAAGAATTATAGTTTTTTTTTTATATAAATTCTTTCCAATTGTATTATGTTTCTAATGGCGCAGAAATAGTCTGTTAGTAAGATTTTGCAAAGGAACATTATGAATCTCGCTGGAAACATAGTTAATGTTTTTAATATCACATTTTAATTTCTAAAATATAAATAGCACATATAAAGAAAAAAAAAAAGAATAGTCGATCTATTTTTCGGTTATAAAATTGTCTAGGTTACTTTTGATTATAAAATTCTCTTTGTATTCACTTGCCATGGTCGATGTTGCAGTCGATCAGCAACGTGCAAGACTCCGAGTCGATCGACAGTCCGGTGCTGATGAAAGCTATATTGTTTTACATGGCCGCCACGTCGGAGGCGTTTATCTTCTGCTTTTGCGGAGAATACCTCAGCGCCAAGGTCGGGACGCACAATTGATTCCCTTAGGCTTCATTCGCACTCTAAAGACGCCGTTATTACGATAACACACGCGGTTCAACCGTACTCGCGTTGTCTGACGACCTTCACGCGTTTTCGCCAACAGAAAGAAACACACGATTGTTTCGCGACAGAATCAAATCTCCTCTCTTAGAGATTTTTTTTTACGTATACATACGACAATACGCTCGCACAACAATTACATGTTATTTCGTCCAGAGAGTTTGGTTCGCGTGTAGCGCGTTGCTGTTTTTATACTAACTAATTTTGACCGTTATGGTGCTTTGTCAAGTATTGATAATAACCGAGATGGATATGACAATTTCAATTATGTGATCGCAGAAGCTACTTTCGAATCATTTGATCGCGCCATTACAATACAAACGAGATGCTTGAATGTCGATTTACATTCATCCGTGTTCACTGACAATACGACGTTCTTACGACACTCTTCTCCAGAGCAAAATGATCGGCGACGCGGCGTACAAGTCACTCTGGTACTTGAAGTCCGACCAGAACAAATTCATCCTGCTCATAATATTAAGGTCACAGAGGAGGCTTACCATCACGGCCGGGAAGATGATGGATCTGTCGTTGGAGGAATTCACGACCGTAAGATTCCAGTATTGTGCGAAGTTCCCGTTAATAAAAGCTTGCTCGTGTTGACTAGCTTGACGTTCATTCCGAACAACCGATGCACTTGGTCTTTTACACGATCGTCGAGTCAGAGAACCAAATTTTTTACCGATCTTTTCGAGATATGAGGTTTATAGTACGTGGCTTACCAAATCGAAAGATTTAACACTCGGGAGACTCACTCTTTCGACTCACTGCGTGCTTCCTTCACGCTATTATCGTTTCATTATGATTTTTCTAGATCATAAAGGCCTCCGTTTCGTATATATCGGTACTGCATGCGATGTCTTGAAGTTCGGAAGACGAATCGTCGTGTCTAAGTGCCCATTAGCCGCAACGAAAGGTAGATCTTGACTCTTTAGAATCTCTCCATCGGTTCTCTGTCGCCTGCGTTCACTTTTGCGAGCCGCTGCGATGGTTATTACACCGACCATAGTTGAATGTAGATGATGATGATGTGTGTGTAGTGTGCAGTTTGCCTTCCGCAACTTGTAATAAACTACTTAGGTTTCTACGCGACCACTATTTGCATGGGATCACTGTACAGATACCTGCCTTGGCACAAGGAGATGATAATTCGCCGATTTATATTGTCACTTCACGTGCGTTACGTCAATTAAGTGAAAATAATCGTCAGGTTGATTTATATTTGTATTCTTCTCGGGTATTCTATTAATTAAGTGAGAATAATCGTCGGAGTGTCGGAGGAGCGGCGGTTTTGGCGGGCTTAAGCAGCGTATCTCGCTCAATTTGCGTTGTGCGTTTCCGTTCATCTCCGCCTCGACGTTCGCTTTACGGTATATGCACATTTTGCTTTTCTTGCCGCGCTTTCAACGAGCGTCGAGCGATCTTTGGCAGGCTTTTATGCATTTTTAAAGCAAACGACGCGATCGGCCCAAGAGCCTCGAGCCGTATTCCCGCGACCACGGGAAAAAGCGCGATTTATTTCTTTCTGCGCGTCCATTTTCCCGCGGAGTCTAACGTCATGTATAATCCAGCAAATCGGCGAGCACTTTATCGGTGATCTCCACGAGGTAAGAATAATTGCGATTGATCGTCGACTTTTTGCCGTATCCGATCCCCCTGCGCGCCGCCCTCTCCCTGGACTTTCGCCACGATCGACGTTATTACGTCGACGCGATTCCTATGACGCGCTTCGTGAAGACGGCCGTCTCTTCGAACGCCCGTCGAAAGAGACGCATCGAGATCCGGCGGAGATATGATGAAGGTGCGTACGAGCACCATCAGCGAGTCGGTGGAAGCGGGTCTGCGCTTCATCGGCATGTGGTCGCATTGCGGACGCGCGAACATTAACTGGTGGTCTTACATCGTGTCGATCGCGGTGGTGCAATACTTTCAGTACTCGTACATATTCGCGCACTTCGACATGAGCGACTTCTCCGACACCATAGACGGTCTGAGCATCACGTTCGGCTACAGTCTGGCGTTCCTCAAGCTGATCAGTCTCTGGTTCAACCGGCGGTAAGGTAGCCGCGCTCATTGCCACTCCTCAGGACGAACAAGCGCGACGTCTCGGGTTCGCCGAGATAGACTGCGTTTCGCATCTAGTGCTGGCTGCGCACCTGTTGTTTCGTCCTGATTAGAGACCCGAGAACTGCGCAAAGGAGAGTCACCTACGGAAAGTCAAATTTTTGCGCGCGCGCGCGCGCGTGTCGAGTGAGATAAAAATATCAATGCGTGCCCTGGCACACACTTAATTCTGAACATTCTTATTGTTTTATTCTTTAAATACGAATATTTAAACTTTTGACATAAGACATATATACATATAGAATATATTGATGTATTCTACGTTCTGAGAGTTTAAATATTCGTATTTAAGGACTGAGAAACAATGAGAATATCGAGAATTATGTATGCGTCCGAGAATTGATACTTTTACCATACAGATATGATAATCATGATAAGAGCGTTTCCTTTAGTTTTGCATATAAAGAGAATGATGGAACCATAATGGATAAATAATAAGAGCTAGTAGAGAAGAATATTTATTCACACTTTGATAAAAAAAAAATAACGCGAGTTTGATCTTCAGACTGAGAATAAAGGAAGTTCGTCGATATGTCAATTTATTTATTTCGCGCATCAGTGGCGTTTCGATTTTATTCATGATTCACGAGTGGCACTCCAAGTAAGAAACGTTCTCCGTAGAAAGTTGTACGTTATCCTGGATACGATGAAGAAGGATTGGAGCGACGAGATCGCGATCGATTCGAATGTAGCCACGATGATCCGTCACGCCGACTTATCCCGCCAATGCTCCAACGTGATGATCACGACAAACGCGTTGGCAGTGTTCTTCTATACGATCGGCGGCCCAATACTCCGGTCGATGATCAACAAAAACGACCACGAAATTGCCACTCGCGAATTACCCCTTAAGATGGAATTTCCCTTCGATGTTTACAAGTCCCCGGTTTTCGAGGTGGTACGGATCGCCCAGCTGCTTCATGATCTCTCGGTGGCGTGCATCGTCGCTATGTTAAACGCTCTCATTGTCACGTTGGTAAGTGTACTTGCTGATTAATCTCTTTAGGGATATTGATGCATACGTCTAGGTACGCTTAATTTACTTTTTGCACTCGAACAGAGTATAACGAAGAATGCTGTGAAACATTCACTACAAAATTTCATAAAAATAAAAGATAAATCCCGCCGTATGTGTGTTCGATAGATGTCATATTTGCCATTTAATCTTTTCAAGCACAAAACCTTCAAAATTCAGATTCTAATAAAGTTCATATTACATACTTTCGCTAATCTAGAATAACAAGGGAGATTATTCCTTTTGAAATTAATTTTCTCTATTTTCCTTTTTGTAGAGAATAAGAGTGGTTTCACCGTGCAACCATCGTGCAACCACTGTGCAACCACCATGCAAAATGTTTCCATCGCTATGTACAGACTGAGCGGTAGTTTCGTTGCGAGATCACTATGTCTAAAGCTATGATTTGATTCTAATAGGTGATCTCACGATGAAACCATTGTGTTCCAAATGGTTAAAAATCATGTCATTTTCTTCTCATTTTAATGAATTCACTCCTGAAGAGGTTCAGATCGCGTCTTTGTGACCGAGATAAATGATCTCGGGAATGAAAGGAAAGACGATCTCGGCGAAATAACAAAGGCCCTTTGAAATATATGACACTTCTAAATATGAAACCTATGTAAAATCGATTGTTACAGGTGCTACACGTGAGTGGCCAAATCGATATCGTGCGGCGAGGCTTGTTAGAAATTTCCTCTGACAAGCGCGCATCCAAATCACCTTTGACTGCTATCAAGTTGCTAGTCAGTAGGCATCAAAGGATTATCGACTTGTCGGACAATATCGAGGATCTCTTCTCGAACATTGCGTTGCTGCAATTCGTGTGGAATACCTTGGTCATCTGCTGCATAGGTTTTTTGATCGTGATTGTGAGTTTATCTCTTTGTGTATTTCGTCTCCTACGATCGCGACATCCTACGATACTCGCACGTTTCTCATAATACGTCTGTGTGACAGTTTAGACTATAATTTACAGTGAATTTATAGAGATAGAGAAGCTTATTTATAGACTTATTTATAGCTTATTTATAGACTTTGTATTGATATTCACTCGAAACTTCTGCACTGAAAACTATTGAAATCGTCGAAAAAGCCATTCAACTTCTGAGGATTGACTGTGTATCAATTTGCGATCGTCCGTGACACTTGGTATTTCGCATTCGCAGTCTATCGGCACGGAGGAAGGCGCCACGGTGATAACCAAGTCTCTGATCTTTTACGTCGCGATAACTCTCGAGGCGTTCGTATTCTGCTACGCCGGAGAGCATCTCAGCGCTAAGGTCAGCGCCGGCGAGCGTAACGGTAGCGACTGTAGAATCCTTAAAGTTTCTCGTCTGTTTACTTTTCTGAAGAGGAAAAGCGAAACAAAAGGAAGAAACCAGACAGGAACATAATCGGGTGCGATTTACTGTGGAAGCTTGTTACCGTTACAGAGCAAGTCCATCAGTGACGCCGCGTACGAGTCTCTCTGGTACGATCTGACACCTAGCGAGTGTCGGATCTTGCTCTTCCTCATATTACGCTCGCAGAAGCGACTGACCATCACTGCGGGCAAGATGACCGATCTGTCCCTAGAAGGTTTCACCACTGTAAGTTTACGTGACAGACGTCGTTAGAGTTTCTCCAGAAGAGTAATGACGCAATATATTTCATTGCCGCAGATCATGAAGTCGTCCGCGTCGTACATATCCGTGTTGCGTGCGTTTTATTAATGAACGATGAGAACCACGCTGAACGAAAGGTGGGTTCTTGAAACGAATGTTTATTCCGACGACGGTAATATTCTGTAAAAATCCAGACAAATATTCTGTAAAAATAAGAACGTAGCTATACGACATAGCAGGGATGACTGTCTTATCTCCTCGATTCCGTTGACCGGAATGCATATGTGTGTACATGTATATGGATATAAAATTTTATTTCCGTGAAACTGGACGGGCGGAAACGTCGAATGCAGTCACGGGAGAAATATAGTCGTGTAAATATACACACATATAATTGATTAAATGCCCTTTAGTAGTTTAAAATTTGAATAATACGGCTTAGAATTCCGTGCATGCACACAAAATCACATTATTTGTATATAAAGTAAGATATATTACCACACAGAAAGTAATATTCCAGCTTTACGGGTACAATTCGCGCGTTCAGAACGAAGCGCTCTCTGTCGATCATGTCATTGCCTTCTGCAGACTTTTTCCTCACCGAGATGACGTGTACAACTTTTTTCTCGTTGGATATAGACACCTATAGAAATAGTCGTCAGCGATTTACGAAGCAATTGTCTTCTTTCTGAAGACGATTATACGCCATCAAGAGCGACATCAAGAGCGCGCTCCTCGGAAGAAAAACATGACTGCGCAAGAATAAAAGACTACACTTTGTGTTTTATTCGGTGCACTTATGAGTTACGAACAACTATCGCGATTGAGATAGTCGACCTGTAATTACGATTGATCGAGGAGAAGACCTGGGCTTTGCGCGGCGAGCAGCTCCGTGATTATTTAGCGAGCGACGTGCACGTGCACCTTATCGAACGAAGTTCACGCTTTTGGCGCATTCACACCCGCAACGTCCGCGACGTCCAGTGATAGTGCGGAGCCATGAAGCGCACAAGCACCATCAGCCGCCTGGTCGAAATCGGCTTGCGTTTCGTCGGCATGTGGCCGAACTCGGAGTACTCAACTCTCTATTGGTTAATCTACATGACAACAATAGTGATAGTGCAGTATTATCAGTACGCGTACGTCCTCACGCACTTCGACCTGAGCGATATCTCGCTCCTCATGGACTGCCTCGGCCTTACCTTGGCGTACACTCTTGCCGGCCTAAAGCTTCTTGTTCTTTGGTGGAATCGCCGGTAAGACGATTCTCGCAGGAGACACGACGTCGAACTTGAAGACAATCCATGTGATATTACCGCGGAATTTCGACGAGACACTGCCGGAGATTGCATTTGTCACTCGGTGGACTTCAAATAAAATAAATTAAGTTTGTTCGATGAGACTTGAGACTTAAGAAATGTAAATTATCTCAATTTTTCTTTGAGTGAAATTTTGCTCGAAAAAGTACAGCCAAGTCACTCGGATTTGAATGATTTTTTGCTTATACAAGAATTGTTCACTACGAATCGTCGTGTGAACGTTTTCATTCGAAATTTAAGAACGGGTCTGATGCACGCCACCGCGTGTCTCACGGAAATAAATTTATTCTAACCAATTGAAATATTCACTCGCATGAGAATGCACTTCAAGCAAGGCAATGGCTGCAGAGAAAGCTGCTTTACAACTGTTGTAAAATTCCCCGAATCCGATAGGTACATGTTAGATTTACTCAAGATTAAGAGCATACGCCGATCGGATTCACGGATTTTATAACAGTTGCAAAGCAGTTTCCTCCGCTCAACGCAGCCAATTACTCATTCGATTTCGAGTGGCGATGTTTTCACTATCAGTTCAATCGGACTTGCACTCGTTTTCACTGAAGTTTCACTTCAAGAAATTTAAAGAATACCTTTAACTCTCTTTCCGCCCACAGAACACGCATTTGAAATTTCTTTTGAAACTACAAAAACTCTATGTGATGATATTCTTTGAATTTTCAATCAATTTTAAAATCAGTGATAGTTACGTCGGATTTGGATTTCAAGTCCGAACAATATCGTCGTGAATTCTTTGAGCTTTGTAAAAGAACAAAAGTTTTGAACAAAAGTTCAAAAAGTTCTTTTATAAAGCTCAAAGAAGTCACGACAATATTGTTCGGACTTGAAATCCAAATCCGACGTAACTATCATTGATTTTAAAATTGATTGAAAATTCAAAGGACATCATCACATAGAGTTTTTGGAGTTTCAAAAGAAATTTCGAATACGTGTTCTATGAGCGGAAGTTAAACATGTTCTTTAAATTTCTTGAAATAAAATTTCGAATGGATCTTTGAAGTGAAACCTTGAAGTGAAACTTCAAATGAAACTTTTGTAAGAGAAATTTTGGATAGCTACGTAGCCACGTCTCTCGAGCATAGTATCCTTCTTTTTTTCGCGCATAAAGAAACTTATCAATGCATACGACTCTCGATACGAGCTGCTTCCTACAGAATATTCTACTACATCCTGGCGGCGATGGACCGTGATTGGAAAGAATGTTTAATCAGCAACTCGTATACGTCCACGATGATGAGCATGGCGGATCTGTCGCATCGTTGTTCCAACGTGATGATTAGTATAAATGCCTTGGCCGCGTTTTTCCTCTCGATCGGCGAGCATATGATCCACACGATGGCCACCAATCGAGCCGAGAATGTAACATCGCGAGAGCTCCCTATTAAAATGGAGTTTCCCTTCGAGGTCAGCAGATCGCCGATTTTCGAGTGCTTCTTAGTCGGACAGTTCCTGTACGAATTGCTGACAGCTTCTGTGGTCGGTATGGTGAATGCTTTACTCGTGTCTTTGGTAAGTTTACGACTTCTAGTTAAAAATTGAAAAAATCTTCTCGTGTAGTACTCTTACATGTGTACTCTTACATTGATACACTACGCGCTGTGTAATTTAAAATATCCATTTGACGAGTGTAACTATTGTACATATGGTATGTTTCAATTTTTCTAATTTACTGTTATTTAAGAGACTGTTATTTAAGAGACAAGTATCCTCAAATTCCACTGAAACAGCGGGCAATCATATCACGTTAATTCTACATACATCCCATATAATTAGTTCATTATGTAATTAGTTGTTGCTTTTTCCTCGTCATTGTCGCAGCTGCAATAATACCTCACCGTTTGTGCCCGGTCCATCCAATTAGCAGCGAAACGGCTAGGCAATAATAATTGTGGCATATTTGCAGATACTTCACGTGAGCGGTCAGATCGATATTATGCGACAAGACTTGGCCGAAATTTCCGTCGGCAAATATGACTCCAACACGTCGTTGGTCGTCATTAAAAGTCTGATTTACAGGCATCAGAAGATCATCACTCTGTCGGAGAACATCGAAAACTTGTTTTCTTATATCGCGCTGATGCAGCTGCTGTGGAATACCTTGGTTATCTGTTGTACCGGTTTTGTGATCATAATCGTGAGTAACGATAAAGGCTGTCGCATAGCGCGCTGCAGAGAACATTACTACTACACTTGTTGCATTATAGACTATCGGTACCGACGTGAGTATGACGACTTTGTTCAAATCCGTGAGTTTTTATTTCGCGATAACTCTTGAAGCTTTCATATTCTGTTTCGCCGGAGAATTCTTGAGCGCTAAGGTTTGTAAAACGACGGTTCCTCGTACATGACAGATACTCGTCGTGATTGTCCGTCATTTTCTGCTTAACCCTTTATAGGGCACTGGTACATAAGTCGTACCAGCAGCACAGAATTGGCCAAGAGAATCAGGAGTGGTTCTAAACGCTTTCTCTGAGTGGTCGCTGGCACAACAGTTATATCGGTTGAGATCTTATAACAAATTTTTTTCAGTCTTAAATATGATATTAAAATATCTCCAAGGACTATTTTAATGAAGTTCAAAAGAAAAAAACTCATTTATCATATCTAAGGAGTCTTGTCTTATAAAGGGTTAAATTGCGTCATATGTCGTTCACATAGTTTGTACAGAGAATTGCGTATATACCTAACCATTCCCGTGTCCTAATCGAGAGTTAATAAGATTTTTTGTCTAATGCATTTCTAAATAGTCAAGGGTCGTGACTGTTGATTATTTAAAAAAACTGCAACGATGTCAAGCAGCTGTAACATTTGGACAGCTAGATGTTTAGTTTGTGTTTATAATTATATGGTTATTCGTTCACGCGTAATTGTGATATTATTAGTGACAACATGATTATTAACTATGGATAACGATAAAAGCACTAGGGTGGCTGTCTTACAGCTCTTGAACATCAAGCTGTCATAGCTTGACATCGTTGCAGTTTCTTCTAATAATCAACAGTCACGACCCTTGACTAGAAACGAACGCGAGGTCGAAAATTCTTAATAACTCTCGATTAGGACATGGCTAGGCATATATGCAAACCCCTGTACTTCTCTTTGACACACCAATAAGTTTCGCAGTCATGATTCATGCTGCACATACATATCATTCACTGAGAAAAAGATACTATAAATCTTCTCTTTGTGGGATATAAAGTTTACTTCTGTAAAACAAGGTTTATTTTCGCCAAATAAGGTTCATTTCCGTGAGTAAACTTTGTATGTATTCCATAAAGAAATTTTCAAATATTCTTCTCTCAATGTTGAAATCATTACATCAGGAGCTCGAGCGAAATCACTGTAAATTTATTGGTCGAAATTACATGTCAATTTAAAGCATGCTCATCTCGAATGAAACTGTCGATCCCGTCGTCGTTATTCGCGCGTTTCAGACCACATTCGTTCTGTTTTCAGAGCAAATCGATCGGCGACGCGGTGTATGAGTCGCTCTGGTACGACATGCCGCCGACCGATGGCCGTATTTTACTGTTCGTCATATTGAGATCGCAAAAACGGCTGACGATCACCGCGGGCAAAGTTGTCGATTTGACTCTGGAAGGATTTACGAGCGTACGAACACAATATGTTGTTTATTTCGATGCGTGGCACTTGAACTGGTCCGCGTTAACAGAGCGCCATTGCCTTCTTCTTTTTCTCTCCTTTATCTTCAGATCATGAAGGCCTCTGCCTCCTATGTGTCGGTACTGAACGCGATGTATTAACGTCGGTATGACTTCACCGTATGTGTGCGTATTCACCACCATTGACTTAACCACGACAATTCGATCGGACAGTTATCTTCGCCGGCTGAATGGAATTGCACGAGTTACGAGACGTCAAATTGTTTTGCGGTGTGAATTATTCCTTATCATTTCAACAAAGAGCCATCCTTCGTTTGTGGTAATAACCAATTCACCCCGGTATATTCTCCGTTAAATGTAAATGTCTCTTTCTCCCTGCTCCGGCTCGTCTGTACGCTTTTATTTTGCAGATCTAAGGGAGAACAAGTGCCAGCGAATACTTCGCGACGATACACCGTGTGTCCGTCCACGCTCGTCGAATATAAATCTCTGACTGAAACTCTTGCAAACGCCGTACACTTGTCCAGTCACAGATTGACCATGCATTTTACCTCCTTCTTTATTAATATATATATATATATATCCGGCTGGTATATTACAACGATACGTTGTACTCCATTTTCACGAACTCTCGTCCTCTTTTCCAAGATTGAAGTTTACATTTATCGAGATTGCAAATGCGATACGTGCTCGCGCAACGAACGCCTGTCTATTACCGTTCGTGTTGCATTTTGGAAGAGAATTATTTGCTACTGTCCACTCGTGCGTAAGTCTTAACGTAAGTCTTTAACATTTGTAATAAATCGCGAACGACACGATAGACCTGTTTCCCTCAAAATCTTCCGCGATGTTTCACGAAATGGTCCGTCAAGACTCTCGCATTGCTCTCTCTTTGTTCACGTCGGAGGGATTTTTAAAATACATCTTAAAGTCGTCAATGAAAACGACACGATTTACACGGTTCAACGCAACTTACATTTTCACGTAGCGATCCGTCGTCACAATGGAGAACGTCTTCGTCGAAATGGAAGCGAGAGAACACAGGCTGAGAGAGCACTCAAACGCGGAGACCAGCGGGAATCGGCGAGATCAGTTGTACTTTGCGCATATTCAGTGCTCAATTGCAATAAACGTTCCCCGCGTCCCGTTCTTTCTCTCTTGGCACCCCGCATTTATGTCCCATCAGCGTCTAGGTTTTTTACCACGAACTCGCGAACGATTCCTACCGATAGGATATAGTTCTTCGCGACGGGAATTTGTATTAGCGAGGAAATTATACGCAGTCGCGCAAGACGCTAAATCGCTCGCTGACTCAGAAGAAAGATATGTGAGGGATAATGCCCTGTGTTTTTTCCTTCTCTCCATCGGTATAAGTTTAATGCGATTTATGATGCGACTATCTGAGGTATAATTATAATTGATTCGCCTGAAAGGAATAGCCTGTACTTCGTCGTCTCCGCTACGATTACTCCAGTACTTTAGCCGTCATTAGTCGCACAGCATATTGAACGACATGCACGTACGCTTCGTCAGCGGTGTCGCCTTCGCGCTCGTCGATTTGTAAGCTTTAGTGATAAACAAAAGGGATGAAGCGCGTAAGCACCGTCAGTCGTACGGTGGAGGTCTGTCTTCGTTTGGTCGGTGTGTGGCCGGACTCGGCTTATGCAAATCTCTATTGGCTCAGTTATATGACGTCGATCGTGATAGTGCAGTATTATCAGTACGCGTACGTGCTCGCGCATTTTGAGCTCAGCGACTTCACGATCCTCATCGATTGTCTCAGTCTTACCTTGGCGTACTCCCTCGCCTTTATCAAGCTCTTCGTTCTCTGGTGGAATCGCCGGTAAGACTCGTGCTAATTCGCGAGATCCAACTCGTGTGGCTTGCGACTAATTTCGCAATCAGTACGCGAACAACGTGATGGCATTATCACTGTGCAAGGGTCACGGCTCATAGAAAAGCGTAAGCGATAAGACTTGAACAATAGGGGGATCGGTCAATCTTATTTGAGAATTGTTGAAAATATAAGACTGCTGTTTCTCTTTCTCTCTCTCTCTCTCTCTCTGTCTTTAGATTTCTTAGAGAGAAATCTCACTTGAAATAAAATGGCGGTATTTTTAAAATTGAGATTATAATGAAAATACTGCCACTCAAAGTCGCAAGAGTGAATATTTCACTCAAGCTTAGAGTGAATTCTGACTCCATACGAGCGAATGTTTCAATCGAATTATTCCTGTGAAGAACATCAAAATGCTCTCTTCAATTTCGAGTGAAAATATTTACGATTCAGAATAAAGGTTTCGCTCTCTATATGAGTGAACAATTATTCGAATTTGTGAATGACTCGGTACTCACTCTATATTTTTTCGAGCGAAATTTCGCTTCAAGAAATTTAGAGAGTGTCAGGTTGAAATTCTCTGTAACTGATTGACTCATCTGTTGTTTAAGTCTTATGGCTTGCATACTTATCTCCTTCTCTCTCTCTCTCTCTCTCTCTCTCTCTCTCTCTCTCTTTTCCAACACAGACGAAGATCGGATTCACATCGACATTTTTCAAGTAATGCTTCAGACACGTGAGCATACGCTCACGATTCAAGCCCAAAAAAGAAATGATTTCTAACATGTAAGATGTTCGTACAATGCTTGATTTCTGCAGGATATTTCATTATCTATTGAAGGCGATGGATCGAGATTGGAGAGAGTGCGATTTCAATGACTCGTATCTGTCGACAATGATGAGTATGGCGGACATAGCGCGTCGTTTTTCTAACGTAGTTTTCACCCTCAACGCCTCTGTCGCATTCTTTCTTTCAATCGGAGAGCATTTCGTTCAGTCGATGAATGAGGACAGTCGATCCGCCAATAGCACCCGGGAGCTTCCGATCAAGATGGAGTTCCCATTCGAGGTCAGCAAGTCGCCCATTTTCGAGTGCTTTTTGATTGGTCAGTTTCTCTACGATCTGGTGATCGCCTGTGTGGTCGGTATGGTGAACGCGTTGCTCGTCTCTTTGGTAAGTTCGCGATGATGTTTCGAGGATATTATTGAAATAATCCCTGGTTCAATGCGATTCGTGCACCTCCGGATATGGCATTCTGCAATTGGAAACGCACAATTATAGTAAAAGCCTTAATTATATGATTATGAAATGAGAAAATTATTGGTTACTATTTTGGTTATAAATATTATGATATTTTATGAATATTATAATCATGAAATAGCAAATAGCTACAAAGTGGAACAGAAACGAATTTAATTATTTGCTGCCAAGATAACGTTTTGTCTGTTGTTTTTATGTGTGTGTCAATAATGTATTCTCGTTCGATATTTTATATCGATTACAATTTTAATACCGCATTATCCATCCGATACAATCAAATCCGATTAATATTGCAATTAGCAAAGTAAACATGGGTAATGTGTTAATTATTCATATGTTTATCGTATATAGGTACTACATGTAAGCGGTCAAATCGATATTATGCGGCAGGATCTGGCCGAATTTTTCCACAACAAATCCGATCCCGATACATTCTTTATTATTATCAAAGATCTTATTCGCAAGCATCAGAATATTATCGCTTTATCGGAGAACATTGAAAATCTATTTTCATCGATCGCGTTGATGCAGATCCTGTGGAATAGTGTTGTGATGTGTTGCACTGGTTTTGTGATCATTATTGTGAGTAGCGTCGGTCGTTTCTTCGAAATTTGAATTAACCGTAACTTTGTATTTTTTCCTACTTACAGACCATTGATAACGACATAGGTCTAACGGGTTTGCTTAAGTCTGTGAGTTATTATATGGCGATTACACTGGAGGCTTTCGTGTTCTGTTTCGCTGGCGAATTTTTGAGCGCCAAGGTATACAAACGAGTTTTCAATATCTTGGAAACGACTAACAGAATTATTAATGACAAGTTATTAATTATTAATAACAAGTGCATCTTAGAATAATTGTCCATATTACTGTGCCTGTTTCTGTTAGTGCTCTTTTGTATTTTATTTAAATAAGCTATACAAAAATTAGAATAAATAAAGTATTTTTTATTAAGTTTAATATTTTAATTTGATTAAAAAAATACTTTTTCTATTTATTTGTGCTAGTTTTATTTTTCATGGCTTATTTAAATAGAAAGACACACTAACAGAAACAGACACAATAATATGGATAAAATTACCATATTTTGTTAATTTTCTGCTATTATAAAGAAAACAAGATATATAGTACAAAAAATGACGACGTCTTATCGTCAAAAATATTTACTGTAAAATAATTTTGATTGAGTTAAGATAAATGTCCCAGTTAGTAACACATTTAACTTTTCATGAAAGTAAACACGAAATTAAATGACCATGTTATATTCAGTGAAAAATTTGTTACTTGTAAGTGAAAAATAGAATTTTTCAAAGCAGAATATTTTAAAGTATTATTGAGGTATGAAAAAGTCAAAGTGAGAGATTTTGTAATGCAAAATATTTTCAAAATATCACTAACTAGAACACTGTCATTAACTGGGACATTTACCTTATGCGTTGTATCTTTTTCATGTATTCAGAAGTAATTTTTATGATGAAATTTTGCGCATAAAACATATTGAAATATGAGCGACACACTTCGAAAAATACATCTTATTATTACATATTTTAACTGTAAATTCAATTTGTCCTGTTTCCAGAGTAAGTCGATTGGCGATGCGCTGTATGAGTCACTATGGTACAATATGTCGCCGAGCAACAGTCGGATTGTATTGTTCATGATATTGAGATCTCAAAAGCGATTGACGATTACCGCGGGGAAGGTCATTGATTTGACCTTGGAAGGCTTTACAAGTGTAAGGCGTTGTGCCGTAGATATGATTCCTATCCATAATATATTTAACTCTTGAGGATCTATATTAATCTCTCACAATTTTTTAGATTATGAAGGCTTCTGTCTCCTATATATCAGTATTAAATGCCATGTACTGAATTTGGAATTTTAGACGACAATAATGTGAATATATTATTTCATGATGTTTTGTATGCAGTCTCATCAGTTTCATCAGTCGATTGACTGATTGACAATCAAAAATAGAATTACACAATTTATAAGATAAAATCGTTAAAAAATAAATCATTTTAGATAAATTTGTCGGACGATCATTCGACGACATTTATTCATTTGATAACTTCATTCATTATATGAATTTTTCTATAAAATATAAATTTCTACGTTACACTATTTTTAGTAGTGCAAACATATACTTTAATAACATCTTCCAATTACTTGTTCTTATAATTATTGTATATTTATTGTACATTTACGGCCTTCTTTCTTAGAAACGTAGAGACTTTGATATAAAAATCCCATTTCCGATGTTCCTTTCATTCTATTGATATAAGTGTCTTAATTGTAAAATTCGTTAAAAAGGCCAATAAGAGCCACACATCGGCTAGTGGTATATATAAAATATATATATTATTTAATTATAATAGGATTATTCGAGACCATTGATCCTTACATGTAAACGTTTTGGTTTCAAATCTTCTTCAGTACATAATATGCTTGTCTTCATCGCTCTAATACAAAATCTTGGACGCATGTTAAACGTTACAAACAGTTTCAATTATTGCTGTCGTCGCAATCTGCACTCGCCAACCGGAACTGCATTGTCAAACCTTTACTCCCCGGTCCGCAATACATCTTCTCACGCTGCAACTGGTTAGTAGTCCGTCGCAGCAAACAATAATTGAGACTATTTGTAACGTTTAATATGCGTTCAAGATTTTGTATTAGAACGACGAAGACATGCATATTATGTACTGCAGAATTTAAATTGAAACCGAGACGTTTACCTGTAAGGGTCAATGGTCGAATAATCCTATTATAATTATTATTATTATTACTATTTTTATTATTACTATTATTATTGCTATTTATTATTACTATTATTATTTTTATTATTACTATTATTACTGAATAATATATATATTTTATACATATCACTAGCCGATGTGTGGTTCTTATTGACCTTTTAACGAGTTTGACTTTATCTTAGAGCCTAATCAGTAATACGTTATTAATTGTTATTTTTATTTTTATTCTCCTTCTTTCTTAATTTGATCTTTATGTCTACCGAGAATATAATATTTTCTATTCGTTTTACTGAACAAACGTGCATGTGTCAATAATAATAATAATAATAATAATCTGCAGTGCCTTTATAAACAGAATTGTTCGCTATTACTCTGCGTTGTCGCGTTTAATACTTTCCACGAACCGGAAATTACGTTCTCCACACATTTTGTGCGCGACTGTCCGCCCTCAAATGCATGCTATCTGAAACTCTCGGTTAAAGCCTGTCAACGACAGTTGTGTCAACGTAGTATCTGTCTGAAAATCGACGACATAGATTAAATTACATATATCGCTTGAAACGTCTTACATTATTATATTTTATGATGGAAAAGCCATATTTATCCGCTATTCCATCTATATTCGTAGTCGCGGAAACTTTTGGTTGAAGTTGCCGAGATAAAGGCGGCAGAATATCAAAAATCACATAAGTGAAGAGCAACGAACCTGACAAGATCGGCCACAAATATCGCACTTCGACTATAATGTCCATAATGACGGAGCATCACACTTTTTCTAAACGGCTTACGCATTTACTTTCCACACATGATACTTTTAGCGACATCGCACGCGTATTTTCTACCGTCGGTGAATTTAATATGCGCGTAGAATCGATCTCTAGGATAGTAATTCATACTTATAAGATAATAACACGCCATTATAACGCTGTTCAATTGCTCACTGACTCAGAAGGGAGTCGAGCGTAGTCGTGTTTTTTGCCAGTTTCTCTTTTTTCTTATAATTGGCGTTGCAAGCTTCTCAGGAACTAAAGCGATCAGAAAAACCAAAGTGCATTACGACTGATCGATCCTCCGCGTCGCTTGCGCGTTATTGTCTTCGCTATAATCACTCACAAGGGGAGGACCAGGTGATTCACCCTGTGATTTCGACCCCAATTTTTTTTAATTATTCTGGAGATGAAAAAAAAAGATATGTGTCTTGGCATTTGATCGAATAGGCCTTAGTTTCGGAGTATTAAATTTGTGAAAATTGGCCATATTCGAAGCGCACTGCGGCGCGTCATATGAGCCTTCCCGGTAACTGTACTTCCAATCAGTGCAGTTGGCTTCGTGAGTTAGGTGCTTGCTTCATAATTCGTAAGATCCAAGTTCGCTCACGAAGGTGAGCAATGTTTTTTTTTTTTTTTAATGGACGGCGCGTTAGGTTAGGAAATCTGTCATACCGTCTAGCTGTGACTAGGGGACTTCGCCCCCCAGACCCCCCGCACCGTTGTGGGGTGGTTGCCGCAATCTTTTGTGAGAAATTCACTCTTTAGTTTAAGCACAAGAGATTGCGGGCCCTATCCCGCCGCAGTGCGGGGGATCTGGGGGGACAAAGCCCCCCAGTCACACAGCTAGAGATAGACGGTATGACAGATTTTCTAACCTAACGCGCCCTTCACTTTATCTATTAATATCTCGCTTTGTAGTAGAGACCGACGATTTTGTCAAATAAAAAAGTTGTTTCTTTAACAAAAACGCGTCGCTTGAGCCTACTTTCATCGAAATCGGAGGTGAGGTCACTAAACTGAATAATTCTCTCTCTCTCAATATGGCTTCAGGCAACCAAAAGGCGTACCCCCAACACCACTCAACAAACTGAATAATTGCCATGTAAATACTACTTGGTCTGTTCTTTTTAGCTGCACTACTGAACTGGTGCAATAAGTTAAAGTGAGAAAGTATATTTTGTTTTGTTCTAACTTATTACACCAGTGTAGTGCAGCTACAAAGAACAGACTCATACCGAGTTTCCGACATCCCAAGCTGATCTGAGCCGTAGCGCCTCTGACGACAAATATATCAAACTGGACATTTTCTCAGACGACGAATTCCTTAATCGTAAAATTTAGCGATTTCGGACTTTGAGCTAAAATATCTCAGCTTCTAGAGAACGTAGAGCAAAAGTAAAGACAGTTTTATGAACTAATTTAAACCCAAGGAATCGATTGAGCCTATCTAGAATCTCATCTGTTCAACCGTTATGGTCAAACAAGAAATCTGGTGTGCAATCAACTAGTGTCGCGGCGTAAGTATACACGGCCGTTCGCGCTTGCACTTAGCTTTGCGACACTACCGTGTCGCTTGATCATATAGTATTACGTAACTGTTACTTTGTTATATAACAAAGTAACAGTTACATAATATACTATATAATTGAGCTGACATTGTAACATCGATGATACTTTGTTTTTCCTGGGTATATATAGTTTTGCATATAATGTAGCTATTTTACTGACTTAAAATATGTACTTTTTATTAACTCAAAATTATCATGAATGAATAATATTTTATTAGCTTTTGATGGTTTCAAAGAAGAACGTTTTGCTGTAATTAGTAAGCCTGCAGAAGAAAATGCACGTTCAGATGCAGAACTTGTGGTTGCCCTTATAGAAATATCATACTAAGAATCACTGATAATTACTTATAATCCAATATTTTTAATACTGAAAATAAGTAATTATCAATGATTCTTAGTATGATATTTCTATAAGGGTGGTACAGCATATACACAGCACATTAGTTTATATAAACTTGGAACGAGGACTTCATTTCATTCCACCATTTTAAAGAA